GGATTTATTGAATCGAAGTTTCTGGAATTTTCAAAATATATCGACTAACCGATATTTCAATACTATATAAGCTTATCGAGTTATCACTGCTTATCGAAGTTTATCGTGCTACCAGAGGAATTTATCGATAGCTTTCAGAAAATATGGCACTATCAAAATTAACCGAGATATCGAAGTTTATAGAGGTTTCCAAAGTTTATCGAGTTATTGAATTTCATCGATACATACATTTTTGAGCTGTCGAATATTATCGAGACTTCGAAACGCACAGTAATCAAAACTTATTGAAATTAGTCAAATAATAGAATTTTGTTGAGTTATCGGTTTTTAGTGTTTTTGAAGTTTATTGAATTATCAATATGTATAAAATTACTGAAATTGATCGAAAAACTGGAATGTACCGTCTTTCAAAGGCACGTCACGTTTTACTTCCTAAGCAGGAGATTTTACGGTAAGCAATTTTGTACCTTAGAGGTTAAACTCCTAGTATATATAAAATACCGAAAATTCAACCATCAACATTGAGTTGCATTTCGCGTATGCTCTCTGAGAGAGAGAATTATCTGTGCTTGATCTCGGGCAGCAAGCTATTCTCGGAGTCAATTATGGGGGAATGGATAAAGCAGCCGTCGCTATACTAATACATATTGTTGTAGAGCGTCCATTGATAAGTTCTGGGCAGGGTTGCCACTTTGGTAAATTGTTACCAAAATTGGTAGAAACCGGTTTGGTTGGTAAAAAGATAAATTTTTTTTTATATTTTGGTAAACTTTTTTTTTTAAGTATTTTGTTTGAAAAACAAATATAAATTTTCGTTGCCGCTTTATTGTTCAAGCTATCTTTAAATTATAAATTTCTTTCCAAAAGTGTAGTCTACTTTATTGCATTTAGTTTCGAAAGCTTTAAGGCAAACTTTTTATATATACACATATGTATGCATAGCGATAAAAAGCAAACATACATTTAGTGCTCCTTTCAATACTTATTTTACTAAAATATTACCTGGCCTTTGTTACTAAAACTAAATTTCCATGGGCTTTACAACGTCATACCCAAAAAAGTTCTAAAAATTCATAGTAAAAATCTCTAAATTTAGACGAACGTTTTTTCAGGTTTTCTAAATGTTATATATATTAAGCTTAAATCCTTGATTTTTAAGGGTTTGGCAAAAGCGCAAGCATATTCTTATATACACAAATAAAAAGTTCCTTAATAAAAAATTGTATTTTTTTGAATAACTAAAAAAATAGAACAAAAAAGTTATTGGTAGTTATTCTCCAGATTTAGTAGATTGTTTTGAAGTGGATGGTATATATAATTTCTCGTCTGTGGCAACCCTGGTTCTGGGTTCATTTGGAAGTAAGCTCATAAAAGACAGATAATGTAATCGCGTGTATACCCCAATATCAAGGCGATAATTAAGACCCTGGAGTTTTTGATGGGAAGCAAATTCGAAAATTGTGAAGTGCCTCGCATCACTTTCGACCCTATCAGACTGTTTCACTTTCAAGCTGATATGAGTGCCAGGTCATAACGATTTTGCAAGAAACTGCAGGACGGATGAAATGGTACGAAAGGGCATTAAGAGCGTTGTCGCCGTGTGAAGAGAGAGGCTGGTGATAAAAAATGGGCAAATGGTGCTGGGCAAAAAGCTTGAAATGTGTGATGGTTAAGTCTTCATGGCCACTTTTCCATTAGGTATGTGCTTACTTCGGTCAATTGTTGCAAGAGTGTCATAATACAAAAAGTCCACAGTAAAAATTACAAATTATATTCCAGTCAGCTATTATTCGTATTGTGTTTTCCACTGCGAATTTTAAATATCTGAGTTTAGTTAGCAAATATGTAGGGGATTTTGATAGTGACTATTCCTCACCAAAATTCTCCAAGTGAAAAGTAGTGTAGCCTAAAAGTATGCAACATGGAAGAGTAACAGATGCAATGTGCCATCAGTAGCCTAAGCGACATGTATCTAAATAGATGTTGCCTATTGTTAGGGGGATCTGATATACTTTTAGAGATACTTGGCGGTCAAAATTAGTGGCATCGATTTGCAGAATCCCACTGCAGATGCCGGATTCCAATTAGGCGGATAAAAATCCTTCGAAAAAACACAGGATGGTGGCCTTAGTGTCTTCAGTTTTGGAAATTTTTGCAGGCAGCCATACAATCTCACTCAACATAACCTAAACTTGAATTTTATTTCACATCTATATATATTTTTCAACTTTCCAACTATTTACTTGTGCTCTGTGAACTTTGTATCCTTTCGGCCGCCTGCTTCCTTATCAAACTAAGCAATTACACTTTGTAGTGAAGCCGTTGCAAAGCCATTGGATAAGCCTATTAACTATGCTTCTATATTTTTGGCTTCTTCATCTTTCTTCGTAATTTTTCTTTATCGTTTTCGACTCTCATCCGCTGATATTGCAGGTGTTCAAAACACTCCAGCCTATTATTTTCTTTTTAGTTTATTTTATACTGCATTACAGTGTTATATTTTATAAGCACACTGATGTCAGTTGGCCTTAAATGCTCCAAAATCGTAATCATTTAAGAGCCTTTATATAGCATTGCAACAATTGCTTTTGAAATTGTTAAAAAAGGACCAACAATAAAAGTGTAATCTTCGTTTCACTAAAAAAAAAAAAATACTTAAAAAATCTTTTGCTTGTTCTTTTCATTTTCTTTTACCTAGCATTTTTTCATTATTCCTATTTATTTAGGTGGGAGTTTTTCTCTTTCATTAATGCACTTTTGCTTGCTGTTAAGGCCGTTATTTGATATGTGAAATCTTTTCAGACCATTTAAGTAGTAACACCTTTTCATTTCAATATCTGACTGATTTACACTTTATTGGCTGCGATGCATTGAGCTCTGGCCTGCACATAAATACACAAACATAACTACGAGTATTGTACACATGCACTTGTACACACACAAACACATAAATGATCCCTTCCTATCCTAATGATGTTTGCGCTGAATTGTCGTCGAACAAATTGACTGCGAGTCATTAATGATTGTGAAGGGATAAAGTGTTGGGTTAGGTGTTTGTAATTTTTTGTACACGCAAGGAAGGGTAAGGGTATCAAGCAGTGGAAATGCCTGCGATGTGTTAGAATTTCTAGGTTTTTTTTTTTGGGTATCACTTGGTATTGCTGAATTTAAGGGATTGGAGAAATTTGATTAATTGAAGTAATGGATACTTTATCGGAATGTGTAGCATAGGAGTAAATGGGTAGTGTTTGAATTACGAGGGCCAAAAGGACCTTGACTAATGTGCGTTATGTTCTTGTAAAACGATTATTGGACTGTGGAAATTTTAAATTATTATCTCATTTGTTGTCATGAACATTGAATAAAGTTTGTTTTCCACTTTGCGCGCAGTTTTTCGTTTGAAGAAGACACATTCATATTAGGATGGTACTTAAAAATATGAATATCATGAGCAACCCCTTTATTTAATTCTGCGTACAAAATAAAGACATCCACGAAAATTTCAAAATGAAAATAAAATTTTATGTGCCGCGACCAGGGTTTAAAAAATTTTATTTTTTTTGAATTGCAAAAGTTCAACAAGGTTTTTACTTTGACCAGCGTATTTATGTATTCAATAATATGTGAAATTTATCAGATTTTAATTTAGAAATTTTTGGAATATTTGCGATATAAAAAAAACATTTTTTGTTTGCTGGGTTGGAGCTGCTTCGGCCGATGGAGTAAAAGGCGAAATGCTTATATTTTTCCCTTGTCCCTCCTACGCGTTTCGACACTCTCGTGTCATCTTCAGGGAGTCTTTTTAGTTGTTTTCTCGGGTTTGCTCACCGATGTTAATAATTATCTTTGTAT